GAAAAAAGGGGCGCCCCCCTACTGCAGTAGCAGCCGGCCACAGTGGTGGCAGCCGGTGCGCGCGGAGGCGGCAGGCGGCCGGGCCGGCGCCAGGCCGGCGGAGACAGCGCGCCGAGCGGGGGAGGCCGGGCGCCGCCAGGCGTAGCGACGCGGCCACAGTCAGTGCAGAGCGGCGAGGACCGGTGCGGGGCGCGGACGGGGATGGCGTCGCAAGCTCGGGGAGGAGGCGGGGCGGCGCATGCGCGCATCCAGAGCGGCGACGGGGCGGATGGCGGCGGAGCCAACACCGCAGAGGAGCGAGGCGAGGCGAGGCTGAGCAGGGTGCGGCGACCGGGATGTGCAACGCGCGGGGGCGGCCGGGGACGACAGCGGAAGCTAGGGGAGGAGGCGGGGCGGCGCAGGCGCGCGGCCGGAGCGGCGACGGGGCGGATGGCGGCAGAGTCGACGGCGCAGAGGAGCGAGGCGAGGTCAAGCGGGCTGCGGCGACCGGAGAGAGAGAGAGAAAGAGAGAGAGAGAGAGAGAAGAGAGAGAGAGATGACAAGGGGGACACACCCAGGTCAAAACCGATGTTGATTAGTGCCACATCAGCAACGGGTGGAGACAAACCAGTATGGGATGTTTTGTCCGGTTTTAGTTTCTTTGGGGGTAGAAAAAGCAGAAAAATAGATCAGGGGTAAAGTGAACCACCCATTTTATTCAGGGTAGTAAAATGGATTTTTCTCAACAGAATACAACTTCACCGACCAACCAACTTCAGAAATCAGAATACAACTTCACTTGAACAGAAAATTCAGAATACAACTTCACTTGAACAGAAAATTCAGAATACATCTATGAATTCAGCGGCCACTTATATGATGTTGGGTGACTGTTGGATGCTGGCCATTTAAATTTGCCTTCATCCTTCAAAGAGCTCTCCTAACATCTCCATCAAAATTTCGGGACTACTACTGGTTCCTCTATTCACATGTTTTTCCAGCTCCGGATTCTCCTCCAAACAGTTGCGGTAACTTGAGACAACTCTTTCAGCTATATTTTTCCGCGGCAAGCATCGGAGACGAGGCTCCGGAACCTTCCAGAACTTCTGAGTCTGGTAAGTTTTATGAAATGCTAACTCAAAATTAATCAGTAAGGAGGTGTTGCTCCAACGATGGATCAACGGCCGAGAAAAGTATGATTTCGGTATGCAGGAAGTCACGTGTCCCCAAGAGATATCGAGATAGCTATCAATGTACTTCCCACATTGACGTTTAAGCCTGTGGTGTAGAGACCACAGCTCAAGATCCAACGGAACCGACGGCTCGAACATATTTGCTATGAAATTAGAATTGTTGAGCAGGAATATGTACCTCAAGCTTGGACCCGAGCAAAACTCTGATTTTCTCCTAAGCAGATCCCTTAGATAGTCAAATGTGGCATCTATCAGGTCACCAAGGTTTACGGTGTTGTCGCTCGGCGTGCAGTTCTCCGTCGAAGCCCGGGCTTTCCTCATTGACACTATGCAGTCAACCATGAACCGAGTGTTCCTATGAACATCGCCTCCTCCTCGTGGAATCTCAATGGCCCATGAATCGTCATCCTCCATGAGTGTTCTCACCTCCATCATCGTGCTTAGTATGGCATTGTTTAACTTGTTTCTTGTTGTCCCCAACGAGCTGGCGGTCTCGGTGAATATGATTTGGGCTTCCGGAGACATGTCGAGCGGCGTAAACATATAGGACACATTGGAGGCACAAATGTACATGTCTAGCACGGCCCGTAGGTTCTCTGCCTTGGGAGCAGGGACAATGGCATCGACGAACTCTAGCATCTTGGCGATGCTCAGTGTGCCAAACCGTGCGACTTTGGAGGTCTCGTGGCGAGCAAAGACGAGCTCGCCGATACTGCCGGCGATTACTGTGAGAGCTCGAATCCACCTCTCGACCATATCTCGCAGCGATAAAGCCGAATTGTCTCCGAGCTGGAGCTGCCACCATGAGCCATGCTCGTTGCCGATTTGGAGAATCCAGTCCACGTCGAGCTCCGAGAACCAATTCTCCAGAGATGGCGCGGGAGATGTGGCGCTGAACGCCTCAACAACACGCTTGGTGTACCCATCGCTGACCATTTGGCGAGCGATCGTCGTGAGCTCGTGGGCACCCAAGTCCGGTGCGGCCAAGCCGGAGGAACGGCCGGAGCTTTTGGACGGGTAAGAATCCGAGGCGCCGGAGTCGATGGAGGATCCGCTCTGACCAGGGTGGGAGTTGGAGAAGAGAGTGGATCTTATCTGCGCCCCGGACACGGCGACCGTCCGGATCCAGTCGCGGTACATGCAGCGCGGTGGGCAGGTAGCAGCCGTGGCGCCGTCGGTGGTCTCCTTTGGCACGGCTGCAAGCCGCCCCGTCATGCTGGCTTTGTCGATGGACGTCCTCTCTTCCTTGGATCTTTGGTCAAGCTCCAAGAGATTGGCAGGGGAGAAGACTGGTTGTCTGATTGAGGGTGCCGGAGCTGCACGACAACGACTGTCAACTGCATCACCGGGTGCTGCGGGTCAACACAAACAGCTGGTACCGCTTGACAACGACGGACAAACCAGCAGCTGATTGCCATCGGGTGAATACATCGTTCTACTCTAATAAATACATCGGGCCAATGCGTTGCTGTAGATTAGGTTTCTCGACTTAATAATGTAAGAACATAATAATGCAACTTGTATGTTGTGTGTCACCACCAAACATTATTTAAGAAGGTAACTATTGTGCTTACATGCGTAGGATTGGATGACTGACACACCATCTTGTTTCAAAACATGGAGTACCCAGTGTGCACTGTATGGTTGAAAAAAATAACTCGTGCACGTCCATCCAAACTAATAACACTAACATCCATCCAAACTAACCAGCTGTATTCAAAGATTAAAAGTGCTCGAAAGTTCGCTCTAGAATATTACAAAACCCACGATGGTGTATCCTCAATGATTCTTTTGGCTGGTCTATATTATAATGGTGCATAATAGTCAGAGATGTACAAAAGGTGCAAATGAATTTCCACCAATAAATATAAGGGTGGACCCGGTCCGAGACGTCGTTTGGACCGACCGCTGGCGGTCTGAGCCGGACCAGACCGAGAAGCATGGCGGTCCTTTAGGGACCGGACCGGCAATGATGAAGCTTGGGCCAAACCGAGAGGACCGGCCAAAAGACAAGGGCAGATCACGCACTAGAGCTCTCGTGGCGGCTGCTCATTGGGGATGCAACACTAGAAGAAGCGCAACTCATCGTCGAGATGTCTGGAAGCTTCAGAAGAACCAGAGGAAGCTATAGGAACCAAGAAGATCACCAGAGGGGAGAGGGGAGCTCATCGGCGACGAATTTGGCATCACGGCCAATGGACGGAGATGAAAGGGATGATGGCCAATGCAGCAATGTAGGACCTCCCATGTTGATTTCTTTTTCTGAGACGACGAATCCGAGTGGGGTGCGTCCAATGGACATGGTTTCTGGGGCAAAGAGTTCAGTGGCCGTGTGAACGATGGCCCCGCGGAGGAGGACATAGATTTTTTTTTGAGACAATCAGCAAAGCATTATTGATCCGTCACACAATTTACATGGACGAAATGAAGATCCCCAGGGTGGCCCAACCAAACATGGCGACCAAGCCCCAGTTTAAATGCATGCTTTACTAGATTGTGAGCTTCGACATTCGAGCTCCTAAACTCATGAACAAAATGACATAGATGACAAACAGTTTCTTGCACCCCTGCCACACCGCCGCACACCCCCGCTACGGCCCTGGCGGCCCACGGACAAGCTCCAGATTAGAAATAAAAAGAAAATGGGTTGTTCTTTGGTCCGCTTGGTCGGACCGGACTTTAACCTGACTGGACCGAAGTTTCTTCGATCCATTTTTTGGGGAGCAGACCGGCCTGTTTTTTAGCTGGCATGGACCCAGCGGGCCGCGAGCCGGAAGAAGTACAAACGTTTTTTTTTGCAGGTAAAAAAAAGGTTGCACCCTAGCTACTTTTTTTAAACATAAGTACACACGCAAGCGCTCATACATACGCATATATACTCACCCCTATGAACGCACACATGCATACCTTATCCCTATGAGCACCTCTGAGAGACTGAGCTGGCATGTCATGTTGAAATTTACGAAGTCACCGTAGGCGTCTCGTCGTCGACGTGAACGTCTACTCTCACTGAAAACGCTTCGCAAGAAATCCTGAAATAAATCCAGCAATAATGCGAGCACCAAGACTTGAACCCTGATGGGTTAGGGATACCGCTGTCCCTCTAACCATTCAATCACAGATAGTTTCGCCTTCCTAGCTACTTTTTCTAATTTGTGTGTGTGTATCATGGTGCAATACACAATAATGGATGGACAGCTAGCTGCATGCATGCATGTTGCACAACAATAAAAACAAAAGGATTGCCGGATGGATGCATGCATGCTACTTAAGGCTAGTCATAGTAGAAAGTAATTTAGGGGGTGTTTGTTTTCAGGGATTTTCTTGTATAAGGACTAGAAAAAGTTCTTTTTAGAGGCTTTTTTATTAAACGGGAGGGATTTTTTAGGGATAAACTAGGCATTTGGGACTAAATGAAGAAGACTCTCAAGGAGAGTCTTTTTGGGACTTTTTGGGACTTTTCCAACAATGCCCCTCCATGCACCTATTGGCCCGTCACCCCATGGTATTGTTTGATTGTTATTTTTCTATATACTAGGGGCAACATGATCATTTAATAACCTCTGGGAAGGGACTAGGGACTTTTTAATCTCTGAAAACAAACAGGGAGGGACTTTTTAGAAAATAGAGACTTTTTAGTTGGGACTAGAAAAAGTCGTAGGACTAGAGAACCAAACACCACCTTAGACTAGCAACATGCATATGCTACTAGTCTACGTTACCACTTTTATAATGAGGAGTAATATATGTGTGATACTCTCTTCGTCCGAGTTTAAAGGATCCGGGAGCCAAAACACAAAGACCAAGGAGAAATAAAAGTCGATTCTTGACCGCGGTAGTAACCAAATAGAGCCTGAGAGCTAAAGCGTGTGAGGGGGTGTTTGTTTCCAGGGACTAGAAAAAGTCCCTTTTAGAGACTTTTTTACCAAACGGGGGGGACTTTTTAAAGACTAAACTAGGCATTTGGGACTAAATGAAGAAGACTTTCAAGGAGAGACTTTTTGGAAATTTTCCAACAATGCCCTTCCATGCACCCATTGGTCCGCCACCCCATGGTGTTGTTTAGTTGTTATTTTTCTATATACTAGGGGCAACATGGTCATTTAATAACCTCTAGAAAGGGACTAGGAACTTTTTAGACTCTGGAAACAAACAGTGAGCGACTTTTTAAAAACTAGGAACTTTTTAATTGGGACTAGAAAAAATCCAATGACTAAAGAACCAAACACCATCTGAGTAGTAATGGTCCTCTAAAATAGAGCACTTTCCTTCTCTCTCTGCTGGATAAACACACATGCAACCCCATACTCCACCTCCTATTTGTGCATCCTTTGGTCATTACTTCCTGCATGCATGCAATACTAACTGCTAGTAATAATTCTCCTAGAGAACCGGGTGGAGGGCCTTAGATATAGGGACGTGGCTAGCTGGCTCAAACGCCGTTTAAACTCGACGGAAGGAGTATCATGCAAGTCATTATTTAGGTCCTGTTTGGGTCATAAATCTTAGGACTTTTTTTCGACCCTGACTTTTTTTTAGTCTTAACTTATAAGTCTCAAGTCCTTAAAAAATCTCTACCTGTTTGATTTCTAGGAATTATAAGTCTCTATAAAACCATATTACAACTATAAGTCCCTATAAGTCCCTTTTTGAGAGTCTTATTTCATAAGTCCCAAATGTTCACTTTAAGTCCCTATAAGTCCCTCCTGTTTGGTTTAGATGGGACTTATAGGGACTTTTTTAAGTCCCTAAACCAATAAGTCCCTGGAAACAAACACCCTCTTAGTCTCAATTTATAAGTCTCAAGTCCCTAAAAAGTCCCTACCTGTTTGATTTCTGGGACATATAAGTCTCTATAAGACCATATTACAACTATAAGTCCCTTTTTGAGAGTCTTATTTCATAAGTCCCAAATGTCCATTTTAAGTCCCTATAAGTCCCTCCTGTTTGGTTTAGATGGGACTTATAGGGACTTTTTTAAGTTCCTAAACCAATAAGTCCCTGTAAACAAACACCCTCTTATTAAGATGTAGACTTATTTTGCCTTAGGATGCGCTATGTTACAGTAACATGTTATATTACTTCAAGCACCTTTCTCCTTATTAAATACATGCCACATAAGCAATTTTTTCTTGGGATATGTTATGTTACTTGCTATGTTACTCCCACTATAACTAGCCTAAGCCCAGTGCGTTGTGAGAGAAGAATAGGAGGCGATGCATGCAGCCGCTTTTAAAACGAGGTAATATCACCGAAACTCATAGAACTTATACTCGATATTCAGTTTGGTGCTACAACTTTAAAAATACGGAATTGCAGTCACTTAACTTGACTCAAGTGTGTACATACGGTCACAAAATACATATCTAGGTGTATTCGTGTTTATGGCCCGCATGTCAGTGAGTGAAAGCACTTTGATGACGCACTTTTTTGCATAAAACACCCTTCAATTTTTTTATTCAGGAAAAAGGAAACAACTGCAATGATTTTTTCCACTAAATCCCCTCACATTTTTTGTATTCGCAGAAAAGTGAACACGTTGTCAAACACGCGACATACGTTCAAAACACAAGCCAGCATAGCCACTCCAGCCGATGCATTCTGTCGGTGTACTAGAATAGGGGTACCCTAGTATCCCGAACTTGTGCACGGGCAGTCGCAGCGTCCCGCGGCAAGGCTTGCCGGGTGACCGCCAAGGTCCTCTGTGGTTCCCTTGGAGCCATTCAAGAACAAAGTATCCAAGCCAAGGAGACAAGACCCCGGCAAGAGGAGCTTGCCGGGAAGGACAAGACCCCGGCAAGAGGAGCTTGCCGGGAAGGCCAACCAAGGCATCTCAAGTAACTTGCCGCGACGCGCCAAGCGCCCCGGCAAAGCCCGGTGAGCGATAAGCTCCCGGACGCGACAAGACAACAACCGCGGCAAGGCGCTTGCCGCGGCAAGCCCCCACTCTGTACCTGCGCTCCAGCACATCCACCAACATGTCGCTCTGGGACCCTTCAAGGCGTACGTGGCGGGAAGCTGTGCAGCTAGCGGTACACGGTGGCAAGCGGCGCTGACAAGATTGCCATCGTGGCAAGCGGAGGCATCCCTGGCGGTCCCTTTTGCACTGTTTAGGCGACACAGACGGGCATTTAATGCGCTTGTCCCCTGCCGCCAGGGTTAGGTATGAGACACTGTAGTAGGCGGCGGTGCCAACCACCACGCCTTTTCCATTT